GGACTCAAATCCATAAAATTAGAAATGAAAAAGGAGAAGTTACACCAGACACTGCAGAAATACAAAGCATCCTAAGAGACTACTACAAGCAACTCTATGCCAATAAAATGGACAATCTGGAAGAAATGGACAAATTCTTAGAAAGGTATAACCTTCAAAGACTGAACCAGGAAGAAATAGAAAATATGAACAGACCAATCAGAGTAATGAAATTGAAACTGTGATTAAAAATGTTCCAACAAACAAAAGTCCAGGACCAGATGGCTTCACAGGTGAATTCTATTAAACATTTAGAGAAGAGGTAACACCTATCCTTCACAAACTCTTCCAAAATATAGCAGAGGGAGGAACACTCCCAAACTCATTCTACGAGGCCACCATCACCCTGATACAAAAACCAGACAAAGATACTACAAAAGAAGAAAATTACAGACCAATATCACTGATGAATATAGATACAAAAATCCTCAACAAAATACTAGCAAACAGAATCCAACAACACATTAAAAGGATTGTACACCATGATCAAGTGGGATTTATCCCAAGGATGCAAGGATTCTTCAATATATGCAAATCAATCAATGTGAGACACCATTTTAAAAAATTGAAGAAGAAAAACCAAATGATCATCTCAGTAGATGCAAAAAAGCTTTTGACAAAATTCAACACCCATTTATCATAAAAACTCTCCAGAAAGTGGGCACAGAGGGAACCTACCTCAACATAATAAAGGCCATATATGACAAACCCACAGCAAACATCATTCTCAATGGTGAAAAACTGAAAGCATTTCCTCTATGATCAGGAACAAGACAAGGATGTCCACTCTCACCACTATTATTCAACATAGTTTTGGAAGTCCTAGCCACGGCAATCAGAGAAGAAAAAGAAATAAAAGGAATACAAATTGGAAAAGAAGAAGTAAGACTGTCACTGTTTCCAGATGACATGGTACTATACACAGAGACTCCTAAAGATGCCACCAGGAAACTACTAGAGCTAATCAATGAATTTGGTAAAGTTGCAGGATACAAAATTAATGCAAAGAAATCTCTTGCATTCCTATACACTAATGATGAAAAATCTGAAAGAGAAATTAAGGAAACACTCCCATTTACCACTGCAACAAAAAGAATAAAATACCTAAGAATAAACCTACCTAGGGAGACAAAAGACCTGTATGCAGAAAACTATAAGACACTGATGAGAAAAATAAAGATGATACCAACAGATGGAGAGATATACCATGTTCTTGGATTGGAAGAATCAATATTGTGAAAATGACTATACTACCCAAAGCAATCTACAGATTCAATGCAATCCCTATCAAATTACCAATGGCATTTTTTATGGAACTGGAACAAAAAATCTCAAAATTTGTATGGAGACACAAAAGACCCCGAATAGCCAAAGCAGTCTTGAGGGGAAAAAATGGAGCTGGAGGAATCAGACTCCCTGACTTCGGACTATACTACAAAGCTACAGTAATCAAGACAATATGGTAATGACACAAAACGAGAAACATAGATCAATGGGAGGAGATAGAAAGCCCAGTGATAAACCCACGCACCTATGGTCAAGTAATCTATGACAAAGGAGGCAAGGATATACAACGGAGAAAAGACAATCTCTTCAATAAGTGGTGCTGGGAAAACTGGACAGCTACATGTAAAAGAATGAAATTAGGACACTCCCTAATACCATACACAAAAATAAACTCAAAATGGATTAGAGACCTAAATGTAAGACCAGACACTATAAAACTCTTAGAGGAAAACACAGGAAGAACACTCTTTGACATAAATCACAGCAAGATCTTTTTTTGATCCACCTCCTAAGGTAATGGAAATAAAAATAAACAAATGGTATCTAATGAAAGTTCAATGCTTTTGCACAGCAAAGGAAACCATAAACAAAACGAAAAAATAACCCTCAGAATGGGAGAAAATATTTGCAAACGAATCAACAGACAAAGGATTAATCTCCAAAACATATAAACAGCTCATGCAGCTCAATATTAAAGAAACAAACAACCCAATCAGAAAATGGGCAGAAGACCTAAATAGACATTCTCCAAAGAAGACATACAGATGGCCAAGAAGCACATGAAAAGCTGCTCATCATCACTAATTATTAGAGAAATGCAAATCAAAACTACAATGAGGTATCACCTCACACCAGTTAGAATGGGCATCATCAGAAAATCTACAAACAACAAATGTTGGAGAGGGTGTGGAGAAAAGGCAACCCTCTTGCACTGCTGGTGGGAATGTAGATTGATACAACCACTATGGAGACCAGTATGGAGTTTCCTTAAAAAACTAAAAATAGAATTACCATATGATCCAGCAATCCCACTACTACTGGGCATATACCCAGAGAAAATCATAATTCAAAAAGACACATGCACCCCAATGTTCATTGCAGCACTATTTACAATAGCCAGGTCATGGAAGCAACCTAAATGCCCATTGACAGACGAATGGATAAAGAAGATGTGGCACATATATACAATGGAATATTAGTCAGACATAAAAAGGAATGAAATTGGGTCATTTGTTGAAACGTGGATGGATCCAGAGACTGTCACACAGAGTGAAGTAAGTCAGAAAGAGAAAAATAAATATTGTATATTAATGCATGTATGTGGAACCTAGAAAAATGGTACAGATGAACTGGTTTGCAGGCAGAAGTTGAGACACAGATGTAGAGAACAAACATATGGACACCAAGGGGGGAAAGCCACGGTGCGGTGGGGATGGTGGTGTGATTAATTGGGCAATTGGGATTGACATGTATACACTGATGTGTATAAAATTGATGAATAGTAAGAACCTGCTGTATAAAAAAAGAAAAAAGAATGGAAAAGGTTGAGAAGAGATCAGCAAAGTAAGGAACAAGAGTAGGAGATGATTAAACAGGACACAACTCGTGTCTATGAAGACCCAGATGTGGGGTGGTGCCAGAAGTTGACAGGGTGAGATACGGCCAAAACCCCGACCTCAACCTTGACCAGGGCCTGGCTGGTCCCTGTGGGCATCACAAAAGCCACCAATGGTTCCAAACACTCGTGTTCTTTTACTCCATTTGTGAGCATTTTCTTTAAATAGACTTATTTAAATAAATAATCCCTTTCTAAGAATTTGTCTGGCAAAGCAAAGTTTTCATCAAGAGCAAATAAAAAAATTGAAGCTCATTGCAATAGAAAATTTACTAATCCTGTTCTTTAAGCTCAGAAATGATTCCTAAGACTGTGTTGGAAGGGCTCTAAGAGCTCATTTGCTTCACTCTAACCCCACAGGACTCTACTTATGCCCTAAAAATATCACTAGCCTCTCTGGAGAAGACAATCTCAATTCCAACAAGCTAGAGAAGACAATTACCCAAAAAAAAGTAATCTTTTTAGTAAATCTACTCTACTAAACCTTAATTGAGGATGTGCTTTGGATGTTTACTCGGAAGCTTTTAACTGGACCCTCTGTCCTCTGGTTCTGTCCAGGAGGAAAAGCTAGTTTATGATGTATTTATAATTATTCTTCAAATAACAATTAGTTCACCCTTTCTACCCTGTTAAAGACTTTCTTCTTGGGTCCAATTCTATAAATTCCTAAAAAAATAGACATAACTTTTCATTAGCCTATCAAAAAAGACAGACTATAAGCAGTATCCTGGTTAGAACTAAAGAGGAAAGCTTGGAGCTCTTATTCATACATATAAAATGGATTTATTTAAGGTGATTTATTAAGGGTGATCTGAATAAACTTACATATTACCAGAACTAATTAGTCGTACTTTATTTAATATAGTACACATCCCATATGTGTACTATATTACACATCCCATATGTGTCTCTCCCCAAACTGTGTCATCGTGGGTTTTAAACTAGTGTTTCAGATAAACTCCATACTTCAGTCACAAAAGAAATGATACCCACCACTGATCATGTACTGAGCTCTTACTACGTGCCAGGTGCTTTACAAAGATCTCAAGAATCTTCACAACTGTCTGTGGGATGTGAAATATGGCAATTCACCTTGTAAATAAATTAGAATGATTCTCTTTGGACTCTACACGAAATTTTTTTTCAACTAAAATGTTTTTATTACACAAAATTTTATAAAAATTGAAAAATACACAAGTTATATAAAGTAAAAAGGGAAAGCTCCCTCTACCCCCACCCTGCCTCTGTACTCTTTCTATTCCGTAGTACAGAGTTTGGAAGGTTTATTTTTATGTATTAAGTAGGTCAGCTATGTTTCCCATTCTTGGATAAGTAGCCTTCTATAGGAGATATTCTATGGGGCCCAGCAGCACACTCCCCTCTGGGCACCAGGACTATATGCGACAGAAGTGACCCTCTGTGGGCTGCATGGGCCTTCAGTTGTGGCGGAGCTGACTGCTGTGGGTGCGCTGGTGAGTGCGGCTGGACCCCGGCCTGGTTGGCTGCCAGCCCCTGCCTCATGCAGTGACTACTGGCCCACTGTGGGTGGGTACACATAGTATTTTTAACTCATAGACACTGATAGATAATAAAGAAAATAGCTAAAACGAGATTCTGGATTATCTGAAAGTTAATTCATATCTCCCGCATTAAATATTTAATCACATCCACTATAAAACTTAAATCATCAGATGTGTAGCTTCCTCTCTGCATCCTTATCCCTTCCTGAAAGACACACTAACATTTTTTTACAATGGACAAAAGAAGAGTGGCAGAAAGAGGGTGAAAAGCAAGTCACATGGGAAACTGACTAAACCAGTTCAGTAACATTTATTTTCCATTTGTAAGGAAGCTTTATGAAAATCTTTGTTTTATTAAATGGATTCACACAGTAACATTTTAAAGAACAGATTTAATCCTGCCTAAGTTGCTTCTTTCCTGAATGATTTTCAGCACTCATCAGGATGGCAATAAATATTTTAAATAATATGATAGGCAATGTTGAAAATTCAGGTTTCTCTTTCACAATGCCATTAAATAGGAAAGCAGTAGTACTTACCTCCTTTGCACTCTTAATTTTAGTCAGAAATGTATACAGCTCCATTGTCTCTGCAAACAGTGCACGACACACTGCCTGATAATGATTTGGTGCCTCTGATGCAGTTGGGAGATGAGCAGCACATAACTACAGAAGAGGAAAATAAAGGTACTTTTTTATTATCTGTGGGGTTTTTGTACATTAAAAACAGACACACCCAGTATATTCACATTTTCATATCAGACAGCAAGGCAACCCCACAATTCCCATCACCCAAAGCTTAATGCATCACAAGACGACCAGTAAAGTCCACACAATTATATGGAAAAAGTGGTCCAGTAACTAACAAACACCCAGCAGCACAGATGAGCTTACTAGAATTAGTTAGCTTCTACTTGAAAACGATAGGGCATGTGTAAAAGTTTTGGTTGGGAGTAGAAAGGGAGCTACCAATTACTGAGTACTGATCAGAACTCAGGTATTTTAATAACTACCATTTACTGAGTATTTATCATGCCATGTTTGACATGTCATATACACAGCATAATATCATTTACTCTTCAACGTAACCCTGAATTAGCACCATTATATAGCAACAGAAACTAAGGCTTCAGAGGAGTCACGTGACTTGTCCACAATCATAAAGTTAACATAAGGGAGAAGGAGAATTTGACACAGTCCTATTTGATTCTGAAGCCCAGGATCATTCTAATACACACTGAGTTGTACAATTTAGTAAAAAGAATGTCAGGAAGACATGGGGACCACTGGGAAGATACCTCGTCAGTAGATGGGGAGTGGAGGAAAGAGGGCAGAGGGCAACTGGTGATACTACCAGTCCTAACGTCCTTTACAATACACAGCCCATAACCCCCACAAAACTACTTGTAGGTAAAAGATGCAATTTAACATCACGCACAACAATTTAGAAAAATCAAACACAGCTTATTAGATTGGAAAAGACATCCTGTCAAGAGCCCAGTGCATTTTATTAAAAAGATAACTTTATCTTTCTATAAAATAATAGTTTTGTATCTGTGTACAACGGTTATGTTTTAAGGTACTTCATTTGCATTAAAAAGTTGTAAGTTCTCCCTTATTCTTTACTATATTCAGTAAACTTGACATTAATATAATTACTGAAAATACACATTTATTATATTCAATAACTTGTATCTTTTGGAGAGTAAAAGATATCTTTGTAGCTTATAATATCCTTCACAATGTGTCTTTCTGTTTTTTTTGTCATTTGTAGTAAGTATTGTATGCAATTTAATAGATTACTATCTTTAATAAAATACATTCTCAGGAAAATATCTTGAGTTTCAGTAAGAAACTTTTTCCACAGTACCAAAAACAGGCTAAGAATTGATTCCTTGGGAGCATGAAAAGCAAAAATCTCACAAGCTTAATTATTCACAAAGTGACCAATGAACAGAGAGTATATTTTTTGCAGAATTATTTTTGTACGCAGAAAACAGCTTCCCATATAGAATTATCATTTCCAAGGTTATGAAAGGCATCTGCTAGGACTTTCACCTTTCACTAATCCCACAATTTTATATTCCAATTATATGTTCGGAATATGGCATAACATTTTTGACTGTAATTCACAGTAAGAAATACATTTTAGGGGGCTTCCCTGTGGCACAGTGGTTGAGAGTCCGCCTGCCAATACAGCGGACACAAGTTCAAGCGCTGGTCTGGAAAGATCCCACATGCCGCAGAGAAACTAAGCCCGTGAGCCACAACTACTGAGCCTGCACTCTAGAGCCCATGAGCCACAACTACCGAGCCCGTGTGCCACAACTACTGAAGCCCGCATGCCACAACTACTGAAGCCCGTGCGCCTAGAGCCTGTGCTCCACAACAAGCCACCACAATAAGAAGACCGCACACCGCAACGAAGAGTAGCCCCTGCTCGCTGCAACTAGAAAAAGCCCGCGTGCAGCAACAAAGACACAACGCAGCCAAAAATTAAATAAATAAATAAATAGAAATACATTTTACATAAGAATTCAAACACATGCATATGTATATGTTTTATACACAAAAATTTCACAGAACAAAACTTACACATTCAATTGATTTCACAACCCACTAACAGGCTGTGCCCTGCAACTTGGAAAACACTGGTGTAAAACTCTAAAATTTTTTTAATGCACATGATATAATCTTATATGTAGAAAATCCACAAAAACTATTAGAACTAAGAAGCAATTTTAGCAAAGTTGTGGGATACATGATCAACACAAAAAAGTTCTATTTCTATACAATACTAATGAACAATCAGAAAATGAAATTAGAAAACAATACCATTTTTTTAATAGCAAAAAAATAAAATACTAAGGAATAAATTTAACCAAGGAGGTGCAAGCCTTACACACTGAAAACTCTAAAGCATTGCTGAAAGAAATTAAAGAAGACTTACATAAATGGAAAGACATCCCGTATTCATGGGTTGGAAGACTTAATATTGTTAAGACAGTAATACTACACAAAATGATCTACAGATTGAATGCAATCCCTCACTAATTCCCAAAGGTCTTTTTTGAAGAAATGGAAAAGCTGATCCTAAAGTTCATATAGAATTGCAAGGGGCCCCAAATAGCTGAGACAATCTTGAAAAGAACAGAGGTAGAAGACTCAAACTTCCAAATTTCAAAACTTACCTCAAAGTTATACTAATCAAAACAAAGTGGTACTTGCATAAGGACAAACATACAGATCAATGAAATAGAACTGAGTCCAGAAATAAACCCATATATCTATGATTGATTGTTTTTCACGAAAGCGCCCAGACCATTAAGTAGGGAAAGAATATTCTCTTCAACAAATGATGCTGGGAAAACTGGATATCCACATGTAGGAAAAAAAAAAAAAAAATGAAGTAGTGGTACCCCTATCTCACACCATACATAAATATTAATTCAAAATGGATCAGGGGGCTTCCCTGGTGGCGCAGTGGCTGAGAGTCCGCCTGCCGATGCAGGGGACACGGGTTCGTGCCCCGGTCTGGGAAGATCCCACATGCCGCGGAGTGGCTGGGCCTGTGAGCCATGGCCGCTGAGCCTGCGCGCCCAGAGCCTGTGCTCTGCAACGGGAGAGGCCACAACAGTGAGAGACCCGCGTATCG